AAGGTTTAATTAACTGAGAACATATAACAATCTAAAATTTTTATGCACTTCTTAATGCACCTTCATATTTTTTAAACCCCAAAGTGTCAGAACTACAAGAAGAATTAGACAAGTCCATAATTTAATTTAGAGATTTTTAACATATCTCTCACCCTGACTGATAGATCAAGCAGAAAAAATAAATCTATTCTAAGAATATAGAAGTTTTAACAGGACAACTAGTAACCTCAAGATAACAGACATACAGGGACATCCCAACCAACAATGACAGAGGCCTTACTGTTCTCAACAACGGGTGAAACTTTTATAAGAATTAACCATGTACTGGACTATAGAATAAGGCTCAACAACTTCCAAATGCTTGGTTAGAAAAAGGACAGCAAAATAAACTCACACAGAGAAGTAAGAAAATAATATGCATAAAAATAGAAGTTTGTAAAGGTAAAAGAGCCATGCAATTGGAAAGATCAATAAAGCCAAATTCAACTCTTTGGAAAACCACCAGCAAAAACAACAAGTATCTCTCTTGTCTCTCATTCCTGTAAATTATGCGATTTGGACTCGGACCCTTGGTCACCAATTCCTTTGTCACTGGGCCTTCTCCTCCCTACTGGTCTTTCTTATCACTTATGGTCTCATTTACTCTTAGAAATTATTTGGGTAAAATGTCTGTCTTTCATACTGGTCACAAAACTCTTTTGAAAATAGTGATGAAGACATATTTGTTAGAAAACATAATTTTTAAACTTGGGTACAAACACTATTAGTCATGGTGGCTTTCAAAGGAACAACTGCCAAAAAGCTGTTTCACTTCTTAATTTCTCCTGAATATACTTCTTTGTTTTGTGGCGGGGGATGGTGGTATTGATATCTTAATGTTTACCTCCCATTAAGTGATGTCACACTACATCTGAGAGGCAATGTACAAGAATGAAAATAGTTCGGGACTTTGAGCTACTTGGAGTTTGTCACTTAAGGGCTTTCTACCCTTTGGGGTAATTATAAAGCTCTGAGTCTCAACTTTCTCAACTTTAAAATGATACTAGTAGTAGTTACCTTGCAAGGGTATTGTGAATATTATATTAAGCAACGAATGCCTAAGACCTGGAATGTAGAAACTGCTAAGGAAATTATGTCTATGGATTTTATAAGAAAAGACATTTACCTTACCCATGTTTCAAAAAAAACCAAAGCCCTCAAATAAAAAAAAAAAAAAAAAAAAAAAAAGCCCTCAAAAAGCTGTTCAAATATAATGAAGATTTGGAACATAAGCTTATATTTGATTTATCCCTAATTTTTGTGGTTTTATGTGATTTCAATTTTTTTCTGCTTCTGCCCTGTGCTTTGCATGCAGTCTAAATACTAAAAACATTTTATATGAAGATATTCTACTCCTGGTTCTTCAATCATTACACATTTCTCTAATCTACTTTTTGAGCATGAAAATGTCAGTTGCTGTTGGATGGTGAGTTCACTAAAGTTACTGGAGCAGTTTCAAAGTTCAGAAGAAGAGCCAAAGGTCACACAGATTCTTTCCCATATATATTTTAATCTAGGTTTTACAAAATCTCACAGTAGCCAAATGGTAGCCGTGTAGTTTGTTCAAATACCATCACTTTTCAAAAATATTTGTAACAATTGTTGGTGTTCTGATTATTAAAATCTTCATTATTTATTTATTTATTTTGGGGGGTTTGTGGAGTATACTAATGTATGTAACTTAGCCAAGTACAAACTCTTCTAGAAAGGCCGACAGTCAATATTCCTCCAATATTCATTCACAGTTCCTAGCAAGCATTATATGTAATCAGTGTTCAATAAATACATGTTGATTGACAAAGGACTAATCAGACACCTACTAGACTACAGAAAGACAGGTTAAGAGGAAAGGGTGAGAGCTGGAAGGCAGTATATAGAGGAAAGGAGACTGAAAAAGATTTCAAAGACTGAATGTTTTAGAAAATCCTGCAAATAACTGTAGAAGTGTGTGCTGGTGTGTGATTGTTTGCAGGTTGCTGATGATGTGGCGTGCAGGTACAGTATAATCCAGAGCTGCCATCAGGCTGATTTAATTTTTTTTCATTAGCAGTGGCACAGACTGTAAAATATTTATATTCAAATTCTAACCATGTATGCCTGGAGTAAATAAATAATTTACTGTATAAGCAATACATTATTTACTATGTTATTTTAAATATATATACTATTTGCATTTTACTGAAAACAAAACAGGTAGACTGATGATCTCTTAGGGTTCCAAAATAAAAAATGAGAGAAAAAAAAATCAAGACTGCAGCTGCAGTGGGATGTTTTCTATAAAGCAGAAAGTAATAGCAGAAGACTGCCCCCAATATATGGAAAAAATAAGAAAATTAGCTTTCTTATAGAAAATACTATCTATCAGCCCAAATACTCAACCATTCATTATCTGGATTTTCTTGGAAAATTTTGAATTGGGCTCTGAATTAGAAAACTCAGCACCACAGACAAAAACTTTTGGAAAATTATTTAATTCCTTAAGAATTGTTGGTGATTTCAAAGAAGTGAGCAAGATAATACCCTATTTGAGTTGGATGCTCAAATAAAGCATGACTATATGGGCTGGCTCATTTTTTGAAATCACTCTGCTGATTGCAAATCCCTAGCAATGTCTTGGAAGAAAGCTTCTTCCCAAATAAACTTGCTTTCTCCTTCAGCATATTATCTGTTGGCTGACCAATCAGTTCAGACTCATTTCTTGACAAGCAGAGTTCTGAGTCAGAGCCATTTTTGGTCACATCTATTCCCAGCATCAAGCATAGAATCATGTCTTCTTGTCTCCACATGCAGCCCTGGATGCTCCGCCACCACGGCTTTGGGAGTTAAATCTCGTGATTGAGAAGTGGGTCCAGTCCTTGAGATACAACATGGATATTAACCTGGGATTAATGATCCTTCCTAATGTGCAGAAAGAGCTTATTTCAGCTGCCTACTAACAAGGACATGGGTTCTATGAGCAGACATTCCAGGTTGCCTCCTCCCGTTTTACCTGCGGAATGGAGGCAAATTAACCTTTATCTGCCTCAATTTCCTCATCTCTAAAATGGTGATAATAATATTACATGCCTCCTAGGTTTGTTATGGGGATTAAATGAGTAAAAGTACCGAAAAAAAAAAAAATCACTTAGAATCTGGGCATGGTGGCTCACACCTGTCATCCCAGCACTTTGGGAGGCAGAGGCAGGCAGATCGCTGGATGTCAGGAGTTTGAGACCAGCCGGGCCAACATCTCTACTAAAAATACAAAAATTAGCCGGGCATGATGGTGGGCCTGTAATCCCAGCTATTTGGGAAGCTGAGGCAGGAGAATTGTTTGAACCCAGGAGGCAAAGGTTGCAGTTAGCCAAGATTGCGCTACTGCACTTCAGCCAGGGTGACAGAGAGAGACTCCATCTCAAAACAAAACAAAACAAACAAATAACGACAACAAGAAATAAAAACAAACAAACAAAAAAACAAGTTCAGCCCCCTCTTGCTCTCTCTAATCCTCTTTGCCATTCTGCCGTGTTATGATGCATCAAGAAGGCCTGTACAAGATGCTAGGACTTAGATATTGAGTTTTTCAGCCTGTATAACTTTGAGAAATGAATGTTTTTCTTTATAAATTACCCAGTTCATGATATTCTCTTATAGCATCACAAAAACATCTTGAGGATTTATGTATCTTTTAGCCAGATCCCTTTGTCAATATTGAATAGATAAGCAATTAATTTTCTTCCTCCCACTTTGTCTAGAAATGGAAAAAATATTGCTCTGGTATCCCCATGCCATAGGCTGATGCATTTACCTAGTAATTTGTAAAAAAACAGTGCCCTCTGAAAAGAGAATCCCCTGAACTTCTTGGTAATCTTTCTATGATACATTCATTTTGGAGTTTCCCTTACAAGCTTCCTACCAGTGACACCTTACTATAGACAATATTCCTTGGATGGTAAGGTGATTGAAGGCAGGGCTCTTTCCTAAGAACAACTGTACTCACCTCTCTTTAGGAATTCCAAAATCACTATGGTTTCTCAGTCATTCATGGGACAATAATAACACTGATACCAGAAAACCCTCTGAGAACATGGAATCCGATGGAGGTTGAGCTGGTTAGGCCTTGGGACAGCCAGTGGGGGATAATGGGAGCAGTGGCAATATTTCTCCCTGTGCTTTCCGTGGGCAATGCAGGGCCCAGCCTGGGCTTAACCTGCTCCAGTTGCTAACCTATGAGTGGGCAGTGTGAGGGGCTGCCTGCACTACAGGCAGGCATAGGTGCAAAATCTGTGCTGCCAGGTGAGAACCATTAATCGGGGGGAGGGAAGAAGCCCACTTTAGCCAAGGACTGCAGTATCTGCAGCTTGAGTGTAAGAGGTGAGGGTAGATGGCAACAACAAAGAACCTGGCCTATTGACACCCAATAGAGAGACGTACTTGCCCAGTCCAGGCCTCATAGCTACAAGTAAAAGGGGGTTGCAGAGGAAAAGCTTAATAAAACATTTTGATCTGTTCTAAAAATCACTTTTGGCTTTTAATTTCATTCTCTCCGTGACATTTGCCCTATTCTGTGCCTCAACAAGTCACTGGTGTCACTTTCATCAGCATAGGACTGGCCAAAAGGGAAAAATAATGGATGAAATAAGGAGCGAATGAGGATTATGGATGGGATGGAGCAGGGAGCTCTGCTGAGTATAATATTCCATGGTACTAAGTTGACATTTTGATGTAAATGACTACCATGCCAAAATGCCCTGTCTCAATTATTTTTACTTTTGGTGATGAAGTCTCTGAAAAGAATTTATGTAATTTAATATGTATTCATTCGTAGAGATGATGCTTATGTGATTCAATTATTTGCCACCTAATTTAAACATCAAAGTACTCATAGCTTTTGCCATCTCTTCTTCTCTTTTTCCCTTTAAAATATTTGATCTGCAAGAGTTAAAATTCTTTAAGGTAGAAATGCTCTTTTTTATTTTCTCTTCTGTGCTTTTATGTACTTTCTAAATATTATACAAAGGACTTCCATCATTTCAGTAATCAGGAAAAACTATTAAAGTAATAATGAGAGTGCAAATGAAAAGCTCACAATACTTCCCAGGAGGCCCTCATCTGGCTTTTTTCCATGAAAACATTTTTTCTCTGCATGTAAGTCACAAGAAATTGCTCAATGTTTTGTTATTCTTATTTCTATCAAGTGTGTCTCTTTTGCATAACTCTCACCTCATCTCCTTACTGCTGTTTCTACTGTTGAAATAGGATAGTTCATGCAGGGGAAAATGAAGATGCTATTTTTCGATGGTGCTATGAAAGACTTCTTCTAGTGTTATGGCCTTGATTATTCATCTGGACACTTACAGCACCTCTGTCCCTTACCCTATCTGCCAAGTTCACATTTTGTGGCTGAGCAAGAACTTAAAAAGGAAAGGTATGCACTTTTTTCCCATCTCCCTCACCTTAAATGGCATCTCTCATCTGGCACAGGATGGGCGGTGTGATGCTCTAAGTCATGCTTAGTATCTTCTTCCCATTGCCATGATACATAGAGAACACATCTCATTCTTGGTTGTACTCAGGTCTAGTTGTTAGTTCATCGCAACCTATTTTCTATCTTTTTATTTCTTTCTTAACAATTAAAGAGAGCAAAGATGCCCTTTTCTATACTTCTTCACCTTTTTTTTTCTGCTGCTGATTTAATGTCTGGGCTAAGAGTTGCTTAGGGGAAGGTTACTTGCCGTGTTAAGTTTCTTCTCTGCTTTCTCCCGAGTCTTTCTTTTAAGAATCAGTCCTGGGCTGGAACCTCACTCCATGGAGCATTGGGGAGGGGGTGGGAGGCTGGGGCTTCACTGGATTCCAGTTTCTTTGGTTCCTCCCATTCTTTTTTCCTCTCCATCTTGTAGAAAGATGTATAATGGGCGTGGGGGCAGGCGCCTGTAATCCCAGCTACTTGGAAGGCTGAGGCAGGAGAATAGTTTGAAACCGGAAGGCAAGGTGGCAAGAAGCCAAGATCTCGCCACTGCACTCCAGCCTGGGCAACAAGAGTGAAACGCCGTCTCAAAAAAAAAGATATATAACATGTCTGGTTCTTTTCCCATTGAAGAGTTTTCACAGACGTTAGGAAGATATTTCATAATTATGTTTCCTAGAAGGAAAGAGAGAAGAGCTGCATTTAGAAAGGCGTGGTGGCTCACACCTGTAATCCTAGCACTTTGGGAGGCCAAGGTGGGCAGATCACAAGGTCAGGAGCTACTCAGGAGGCTGAGGCAGGAGAATCTCTTGAACCCAGGAGGAGGATGTTGCAGTGAGCTGAGATCGCACCATAGAGTGAAACTCCATCTCAGAAAAAAAAAAAAAAAAAAAAAAAAAAAAAAAGGAAAGAAAGAAAGGGGAGAGCTACATATACTAGGGACATAAACATTCCACACTGTAATGACTGAAAACCCCTCTGAGGGAAGAGGGTCCTGATCCTCTGTTTAAGCAACATTTTACCTCATAGCCATGGCATGATCAGAGTAGAGTGATCTACCTTTCTGTTGGAACACTGTCCTCTCACTCACTTGTCTGGCTAATTTCCACTCATCTTGCAAGAATCAGCTCAAACACCTACTCTTCTTGGAATTAATCATGCCTTCCTGCCTTAACTCAGGTGAATGCCTTTATCCATGGTCTACTCCTATTCCGCGAGGTGACCATCCTCCAAACACCCACAACACCGTCTTTACCATAGTCCTCATCTTGCATTGTATGAAATTATTTATTTTTGCCACCAGACTTTGAACACTTTCAGAACTTTTCAACACTTTGTTTTCTTTTCATCCTGGAAACCTAGCATGGAGCTTAGAGCACAGTAGGATCTACGTATTTGTTGAATGACAAGTGATTGAGGCTGTGGTCATTCTCTTGCAGCATAAAAAGACATAGAACCCATGGTAGGGGACAAACATCATACTGTGTCTTAAAAGTTCCTTCCTGTGACTCAAATGACCCGTGAAATTTTTTCTTGTTGAAAATGTAAGATGCCAATAGAGTGTAGTATTCCTGAAAATGAAATCCCCATATAGTATCTGGAACTCCACAGAAAAGTGCCCATCGTGGAAAAGACTAACCTGTACCACTGAGCCCTTCATCTTCAGTTGTCAGCCCTCAGCCATCTCATGCAACTTTCATTTTGGTTGTCTTTGTGATTCTTAATCTCTCCTGTTGGCAAGAGGAGGGTGAGCAAGAAAAATGTCTCTGATGTTCCCCCGCAGCTTGGCAGTCAGTTACAGCTTTGGGAATCCGAAGACCGTCCCAGTGTTCTCTGTGCAGTGGCATAGCTCCAAGTATTTTAGCTCTGAAAAATGAGTGCAGTTTCTGTCTGTGGGCTAACATATGCACTTTACACACACTCTTGTGTTAACTATGTGAAGAGAGTGTTCCAGAATAAAAATGCCAGAACTGAACAGACTCCTTGAGTTCATATTCTCATTTTTCGACAGAAGAACGTGAGTCAGAGAGGTGAAGTGATTAGCTCAAGGTCACACAGCATTCAGCAATAAAAATGGGAGGAGGAATAGGAGCCAAGTCCTGTACCCAGTCTGATGTTTGTTCTAAATACCACACTACTGTCCTTTCTAGTCTAGAGAACAGTTGATGACTTAGAATTTTGTGGAGAGAAGGGAACAAATTTCCCTTTACATAAAGAAGTGGGGTGCTTAATTCTGCAAGGACTGGTATGTGACCTCAAGCAGCTATGAAACCTCTCTGATCCTTAGTTTCCTTATCTTTAAAGTGGGACTGACAATAGCTATGCTACCAGCTGTTTTGAAGATTCAATGAAATCATGTCAGCACAGTGCCTGGCTCAGAGCCTGGCCTTAGGGGATTCTCAGTGAACAAGAGCTGTTATTACAAACAAGCATGTTGTCCAGCCCTGCTCCCATTCCAGCTCAAGAAAGCTGCCCAGTGGGCAATCAATGCAGTAAGCCGCTGGCTGCGGGGCAGTTGAGCAGGATACATTTGAGAAAGGATTGAGAGCAAATCTAGTATGTAAGAAAACAACCAAATTCCCATAAAGCCTAATTATTTGCGCTGTTCATTAATAGCCCTGTTCCTCCCCCTCTCCCCCAGCAACAAATTAGGATCTGACTTGAGGTACAGCCCTGATTAGGGAGGGCCTAGTGCATTTATGCAGGGGGTATCTCCTGCATAATGTATCTTGGCATCCAAAGGGAGCCTGGATGACTGCCTGCTCTCAGCTTCCCTTTGTATCTCCCATCATTGCCCATAAAAGCCTTCATTATGATCTGGGTCCCCTTTATTGCACGTATAAATAAAATCTGACAGAACTGTACGTAAATCCTTTAGTGGTAAAAGCTGAGAGAAGAGGGCAAAAATTAATTTTATGCATGAAGAATCTCATTAAGTAGCTTCATGGAAACAAAAGGAGCTGGCACAGGGACTGGAGGGTGTGGGCTTCTCTAGGCTGCATCTCTCACAGCTTTACCCAGGAAAAGACAGTCTGCTTCTGCTTCCACTGGTGACTCCAAGAGTCACAGGTGGTGGCAGAGCTGCACTTTCTGGGAAAGGCTTAGGTTTCTGAGGCAGGCAAAGCTGAGCTCCCTTGGGAGTTTCCGCCTTCCACTCCTGCTCTTAGAAGAGGTTCCAGGCACGCTGAGTGAGGTCCTCATGCAAGGCAGCAGGCATCATTCCTGGAGATATTGCATTCCCTGGGATAAGAAGCCACATGCCTTCAATATATCTGCAATCAGCTTTAGATCCTCCTGTGTAGGACCCTCTGGTTCTAATGTTACTCACCTAGGCTGCTCTCTTCTGAGAATGGGATGAATGAGGTGAGGAGTGGAGAATAGAAATGCAGGAGAGGGCACTTGGGGGATGGCTCCAGCAGAGCCAGGATCCATCTGCTGGGGTAAAGAAATGTACAGTCAGCTCAGATGCTCTGGCAGTCAGGCCCAAGTTTCAATGGTTGATTCTATATTCATTCTTGATTGGTTGATACCATGTTAAATCACTGCATTTTTCTGCTTTTGATTCATATTGTGTGGAATCAATGATCCATTCTACATGGTCTGTTTTCCTTCCTAGAAAAGAAGCTGCTGACATAAAGACAAAAGTCATCTGTTCAGTCTATCTTCTCAAAACATCTTTCTGTTTTAAGCCATTGTATGCCCCAGCCTATGCCATCCATCAGTATATGATAGGCTTATATCTAGATGTAAAATAATTCATTAAAAGTTACTTGTGGTTTCAGAATACAAAGATCATCTCATACAGAAATAGCTTATTGCAGATAACTTTGATTGGTCAACTATATAAGAACAATACATTATAAACAGACTGAAATTATGCAGAGAAGATACAGTTTTAACAAAATATTACATTCTGAACTGATTTTCCAGCATTGGTGAGTGTCTCATAAGGAAGAAGCAATCAGATACAATGGCGTTGTATTAGTTATCAGAGAAAACAAGTAACCACAACAATAATTTAAAAAAGGATAATAAAATAACAGGAAAAACATCCCTTCAATAACAGTCCCTTATTGGTGTTAAATTGCTTCATAGAAATTCCATCTGTTATATGATTTGGTTTGTGTCTCCACCCAAATCTCATCTTGAATTGTAGTTCCCATAATCCCCACATGTCCTGGGAGGGACTCCGTAGGAGGTAAATGAATCATGGGGGAGGTTACCCCATGCTATTCTTGTGATAGCGAGTGAGTTCTCATAAGATCTGATGGTTTTATAAGGGATTTCTCCCCCTTGCTTGGCTCTTTTTCTTCCTATCACCCTGTGAAGAAGATCGATTTCTTCCCCTTCACCTTCTGCCATGATTGTAAGTTTCCTGAGGCTTTCCCAGCCATGTGAAACTGTGGGTTAGTTAAATCTCTTTTTTTTGGTAAATTACCCAGTCTTGCGTATTTTTTCATAGCAGCATGAGAACAGACTAATATAGTACATTGGTACCACAGAGAGAGGGGTGCTGTTATAAAAGTACCCGGAAACATGGAAGCAACTTTGAAACTGGGTAGAGGCTGAGGTTGGAACAGTTTGAAGGGCTCAGAAGAAGACAGAGACGTGGGAAAGTTTGGAAGTTCCTACAGACTTGTAAAATGGTTTTGACCAAAATACTCATAGTGATATGGATAATGAAGCCCAGGCTGAGGTGGTCTTAGATGGAGGTGAGGAACTCATGGGAACTGGAGCAAAGGTCACCCTTGCTATGCTTTAGCAGCAAGACTGGTGGCATTTTGCCCCTGCCCTAGAGATCTGTGGAACTTTGAACTTGAGAAAGATGATTTAGGTTATTGGTCAGAAGAAATTTCTAAGCAGCAAAGAGTTCAAGAGGTGGCAGAGCATAGAAATTTGGAAAATTTGTGGCCTGACCATGTGATAAAAAAGGAAATCCTATTTTCTGGGGAGAAATTCAAGCTGGCTGCAGAAATTTGCATAAGTAATGAGGAGCCAAATGTTAATTGCCAAGACAGTGAGGAAAATGTCTCCAGGACATGTCACAGACCTTAGTGGCAAGCCCTCCCATCACAGGCCAGGAGGCCTAGGAAGTAAGGATGGTTTCGTGGGCTGGGCCCAGGGCCCCACTGCTCTGTGTAGCCTAGGGACTTGGTGCCTTGTGTCCTAGCCACTCCAGTCATGACTAAAAGAGGCCAAGGTATAGCATGGGCTGTGGCCTCAGAGGATGCAAGCCCCAAGCCTTGGAACATGGTGTTGAGCCTGAGGGTGCACAGAAGTCAAGAATTGAGGTTTGGGAACCTCCTCCACTTAGATTTCAGAGGTTGTATGGAAATGCCTAGATCTTCAGGCAGAAGTTTGCTGCAGGGGCGGGGTCCTCATGGAGAACCTCTACTAGGGCAGTGCAGAAGGGAAATGTGGGATGGCAGCCCCCACACAGAATCCCCACTGAGTTACTGCCTAGTGGATCTGAGAGAAGAGGGCCACTGTCCTCCAGACTCCAGAATGATAGCTTGCACTGTATGCCTGGAAAAGTGGCAGATACACTATGCCAACCCATGAAAGCAGTCAGGAGGGGGCCGTACCCTACAAAACCACAGAGATGGAACTGCCAAAAGCTGTGGAAGCCCACCTCTTGCATCAGCATGACCTTGATGTAAGACATGGAGTCAAAGGAGATAATTTTGGAGCTTTAAGATTTGACTGCCCTGCTGAATTTCAGACTTAGACTTGTGTGGGATCTGCAGCCCCTTTGTTTTGGCCAATTTCTTCCATTTGGAACAGGTATATTTACCCAATGCCTGTACCCTCATTGTACGTTGGAAGTAACTAACTTGCTTTGGATTTTACAGGCTCATAGGAGGAAGAGACTTGCCTTGTTTCAAATAAGACTTTGTACTTGGGTTAATGGTAGAACAAAATAAGACCTTGGGGGATGGTTGGAAAGGCATGATTGCGTATTGAAATATGAGAACATGAGATTTGGGATAGGCCAGGGGTGGAATGATATGGTTTGGCTATGTCCCCACCCAAATCTCATCTTGTAGTTTCTGGTTCCCATAATCCTCATGTGTCATAAGAGGGACCCAGTGGGAGGTAATTGAATCATGGAGGCAGTTACCCGATGCTGTTCTCATGATAGTGAGTTCTCATGAGATCTGATGGTTTTATAAGGGTCTTCTCCCCCTTTGCTCAGGACTTCTCCTTCCTGTTGCCCTGTAAAGAAGGTGCCTTTCTTCCCCTTCACCTTCTGCCATGATTGTAAGTTTCCTGAGGGCTTCCCAGCCATGTAGAACTGTGAGTCAATTAAAACTCTTTTCTTTATAAATTACCCATTCTTGGGTATTTCTTCAAAGCAGCATGAGAATGGAGTAATACAATGTGTATACTACAGAAACACACTAGAAAATACTAAGAATGCTAACATTTCCCTGTGTACTTGCACATCAACAGGGCAGAAAGCATGTTAGAAGAATGATCAGAAGGGCATCAATTTCAGAAGCAATAGGAAGTGACACAACTGAGTTTAAATCCTGGTTTCATCTGTTATCAACTAGGAGACCTTGTGTAAAATAGCTAATCTCTCTGGGCATTTGTTTCCTTACAGTTCCTTTGAGGATTGCAGAAAGTTATCCAGTGCAGTTTTAACACAGACTCTCCAAAAATGACAGCTCTTATGAGCCTTTAGGGAACTGAGATTGGATGTATAAGGTAAGCCAGATTGTAATCTCTGGGACTCTTCCAACTGTGTGCATCTGACTACTCCTTCATCTCACTGAATATTTTTGGTACCATATGTCATGCCTTCACTTTGATAACAGTACCAAAGGGATTAGAATAAAGAGCAAATACATTTTGAAATGTCAGCCCAAGAGCATTGTTTGGATATGGTTTCCAAATTTCTTTCCAAATTATTTTCAAAGAATTTAGTTTTCTTTCTTAACTATGCTTGCTGATCAATGCACCTGCTTCATTGGTTGGGAATGCCTTTGACTTTATAAAACTCCATCTTAATCATAAGCCCAAACTTAATTGCCTTGTTCTCAATTGCTGGATTTGCCTTTTGTTGTGGTGGTTACTGAAACGGTAATATTTTAGCTATTAAGATCTTATTTAAAGTGAATTTAAAGTGAGAAAATCTAGCTGTTGCCCCTGCAACTTATCAGGAAATTATTCATTTGTTATTAAATAAAGACAGTTTTGCTTAACACTTTGAAAAATGTGAGGTTTTTTTTCCAAGTGCTTTTTCATGGCTCTTCACCTCATCAAATCATTGTTTGACAGAGCTAGAAGGAATGTCATGGTTTTTTGAAATAACTGTACATCCTACCTCTTGTGGGACCTTAAAAAATATAGAATCTTGAAACTTACCCCCAAATATCTAGGACTAAGGCTTAGGGAATTCTTTTACATTACCAATGGACAGGTAGCCTATAAACTTGTATAGTCCAAATCCCACATTTCACAGTTGAGAATATTAAGAAGCAGAGGAGTTAAGGCAACTGTCAAGGTCACAGAGCTGGATAATGGCAGAACAGGCTTCTAACTACAAGGGCTATTCTGAATCCACCACTTGAATACTGCTCCTAGGAACACCTTGTTTGATGCTATCTGTATGGGATTTAAAAAATTATTTATTTAACATATGACTGAAGATTTGGACTATGTAATGCATATCCTCATGGAAAAGATACGACAATATCAAAAGGGCAAAATACCTAGGTGATAGTGGAAGATGCCTCCAAAAGAATACAAGTCTGGAGAGGATGACATGACAGGAAATCTCAGTTTTTCTTTTCTAGCAGTTCCTTAAACATACCTTCCTTAGCTGACTGACATATTGTGCCTTAGGCAATGTGTAGTCAATCAAGATACCTTTGCTTATTTAGCAACCATATCTGACTCCTGTACTTATGATCCAAGTACCACAGAACCAGTTCTGTAATTGACCACCAATGAAATGACTGATTTTGCTGGGAAGAGGAACCAGGGATGCTGTCTCTTGGCTCCTTGAGAAGTCAGATCATTACAGGTGGTAGAATCTGGGCACTTCCCCCACTTCTTCTTCCATTTCTGCTTTCTCTTCTTCTTTTGAGACTGGATCTGGGAGAAGTAGCTGGGATAGATGTAAGTGCCAGAAATTGTTCAATAGCCACGGAATGACTTGAGTTAGAGCTAATAGAAATCCTTTATCCCATCCTCAGACTCTTTATGCACTCTGAGTTGGCAACTGTAAACTCCTGTACTTTGTTCTTCTCCTCTGTTTCTCAGGTGTCCTTTACCATGATGATGGCAGAAACTAATTCCTTTGTATGTCTTCAAAGTTTGAATGGTTTGTGTTCCCCTAAAGAAACTCAAAGCAAAGACAATTTTTATATTAAAGCCTTATTAAATTTGGAGCTTCCATTTCCTCATTGGCAAAATGTGAGAATTCAGCTATTATCACAGTGCTTGGATACAAGTACAAATTAAAAAAAACTTCTAATAACCCTTTATTGCTATTAATTATATTAACAATTTTGATGCAGAATTTTTTTTCTTATGAAAGATTCTAAATCCTTTCACCATATGCAGAAGCAGATATGCTCAGCCTGCAGAGTTAGCAGCTTTTTAATCTACATTCCCAAAGCATCTTGTGTTAAAAGAGCATATTTCTATCACTATACTTTTCATAATGCATTATAGTTACTTGTTTTGAGGGCCTACTCTTTATCAGACTTTGAGCTCCTCAGGGGCAAATGCCATACCTTATTCACTTCTGTATCATTGTCATCTAATGCAGTGCCTGGTACATAGTAGGTGTTCAGGAAATGATGGTTGAATGAATGAGGAGGACCTCTCAGGCTCAAGAAGACACCGAGTAGTCATGGCAACCAACAGAAGGCTCCTAGTTTAAGAACCATAAGCACTCTGTACTTGGAGTTTTGTTTTTCCAAATTACAAAGGATTGATGATCAGGTTTGTTCTCCTGCCTGCCTTGTGACTCATGCTGCTGTGGGTTAGATGCCTTGGCAGAGATAAGGCAAAAAGCTATTTTGTCAAACTTGGCAACTTGCTATAAATATGGATAATGAGTCCACTCAGTTTTGTTTTGTTTTTTTTTGTTTTGTTTTTTGTTTTTTTTTTTTTTAATAAGGCAGTCTGGGTTTTCTCTTGCTTTCATTGGAGTCAGATAGTTG